TGCACCTGTATTTACATAGCAGCACAATTCACCATAGCTAAGATCTGGAAACAGCCTAAGTGCCCGTCAGCAGATGAGTGGATTAGAAAACTGTGGTAAATCTACACAATGGAATACTATGATGCTGTGAAAAAGGAGTTCTTACCATTTGAAACAGCATGAATAATTTGCTTCTAGTGAGTAATGTGGAAGAGTGATGAGGTATGACTTCCAAGACTAGGCCATAAAAGACATTGCTATTTCTGCCTTATTCTCTTTGGCTTTTTTGGGAGAAGTGGATGCTCCAGCCCCAGTCAAGCCTCCTGGTGATGGTAGGCTGATTGATATCTTGCTTACAATCTCATGAGAAACCCTGAGCCAGAAACTACAGCTAAGCTGGCTCATAGAAACTGACCCACAAAAACTGTTTATTGCTGGTAGAGTCACTAAATTTGGGGGTAATTCAACACACAACAATAAATAACTAATACAATAAGTATTTTCCAATAATCTGAAGCAATGAAGATCTCTGTTGTGTGAGAAGAGCTCTTCAAACTTTTTGTGTTGATTCGCGATTTTGATGATGTGTCTCTATTCTGAACACTGCCTCTGGGTCAGAATCAGACGAGTGCCTTCTATGAGTTAACTGCAGCCTCAGCCTTAGGCACAATATCTGTGAACTGGCTGTCCCATAACCTGAGGGCTACTGGATTTCTTTTAAGTTCCGTTATCCCCACTCTTCATGTGGCATCAAGAAATATAAATGCCCATGAGGTATTCTTATTGAAAGTGCATCACATGTGAGCCAGTGAGTTTAGATACCAGAGGTCACATCCCAATACCTTACTATACTCAAAGAAAGTTTTTATTCACCTTTGTGAAAAAAGTGAAAGGGCAAAATAGCAGTATGTCTGAGAAACTTCCAAAAGGCAAACAAGAAAGAAAAAATCATCACCTTGAGTAGAAAATGTGGGGTGGTTCATTCAAGAGTGTCATTTGGGAATAGTTTTGCCTCTGTTGGACTACATAAATGTGTCCTTCTCTCTTGTGTAGGAACTAAGCTATAAATTCTAGAGAGGAAAAAAAATTTGTGACCCTAGTACTGAAAAGAAGTATTCTGTATGCTTGTCTGGCAGGAGTTCCCAAGGTTGTATCATATGTGAAAATTCAGCAAACTGTGCGCTTAGGATGAAAGCACTTTATGCACTTTAGTGGATGTGCTTTAACCTCAATAAAGAAGGAAAAGAAGAAATCAAAGGACATGGCTGCTACTGTAGGTGTTACAATTCTCCTTCATGACTTGACTCTCAAATGCAAATGTAACTGCTTGTGCATCTGACCGGAGTCATCCAGGTCACAGGACAAACTTCCCAGCCAGGTTCTAATTGTGGTGAACAAGCGTGCTGCTTTCTACTTGTTCCACTATCCATCTGACCCTCCTTCCCCCTCTGTCCTTGTCCTCACCCCCTCGCCATTATTTTATTCTTTCAACTGTATCCTCTGCTGCCACCGCTATCTTCTTCCCGTCACTGTCACTAAAGCTATTATTCCACATGTAAATAAGCAGTGCCTATCACTGCTGTCTACACCATTCTTTCATGGGACCTACCTATTAATATCCCTCTGTTCTCCACTTTTTTATCATTTAAAAAATTACTTTAATCCAGAAAGTACTTGGGTGACATCATTGGATATTTTTCTCCAAAAAAATATAAGCATATTATAAACCAAATTTTACTTACTATTTATTTTTAATTTTTTTTGCTTTACTTACTATTTAAAGTTGCAATCTGTCACTTGTTTGATGCATAACATCTGCCCCTCAGAGATGACAAAATCAATTTGAATTTAAATGAGAGCAAATTTTCACTCAACCCTGGTGTATGTATTCTGTGGTCCCCAGCAGGACACAAATACAATTCTGGAGACAGCTATTCAGCATTTGTAACTTAGATCCAAACTGTGCCTTTGAATAACTAAATCAATAAATCAGAGCTTTACATTCATTTCAGAGTGTGATGGCAGACTGCTGACCTATTCTTATGCCATGTATTCAACAAATACGTACTGAGCAAAATACATGCTGGAAAGTATTGTGGATTACTACTCAGTATTCATTCTTTCCTTGGGCAAGAACGCGAGGTACCCAGCCTCTCCACCAGAGGGCATCCGAACCTAGGCTCCGGGCGGCTCGAATGGGCGCCGTATCCCGTCGTGCTCTGGGCGGCGCGCGGGCTGGAGCCGCTCTGGCCGCGCCGGCATCTCTATGGTCCCGGCGAAGGGAGGGGGGAGCAGGGGGCGGGGCCT